TTTTGCACACAAAATGTATTTCCAACAGTTTTATTATTTTGGATTGAAATAGCTGCTCCTCATTTCTCAGAAACCTAGTTCGCTTTATATCTCAAAATGATCAGGTGAAATATATGAGTTTTACACTCTCAGCATATAATAGAGGATAAAAATATTCCTGGTAGCCATACTGCTTATTTTTCAACCACACAGCTGCTCTTTCAATTATTTGCTGTTTTAAAACAATTTTCAAAAGTCCAAAGAAAATACCAAACCATCTTGATTTATTTGCACTGAAAAATTACTGAAACTTTTAGTTATTACAGATTTTAAAAACTGAAGTAAATTTGTTCTCTAAAAATTGACAAACTCTTCAATCCTTTGACTTTACTCATTTGAAGGAGGATTTTTTTTAAACTTGACTCTACATTTCAATTAGACAAACTAGTCCAAAGCATATATTTCACTAATTTTGGAATAAAGTAAGCCCAAAATAACATACTGTAGACTATGCTAGTAGAGAAATTCAGACTACTTACATTAGTTATCTGTTCAAGATATATCTGTATAAAAACTGAAAATGCTGGAAATAGTCAGCAGGTCTGGCAGGGGATTTTGAGAGAGAAACAAAGTTAAATTGAATATGTGAAATCATGAGAGGCATCGCTAGGGTGAATAGCAAGGGTCTTTTCCCTAGGGTGGGGGAGTTCAAAACTAAGGGGCATATTTTTAAGGTGAGAGGAGAAAGTTGTTTAAAAAAAAGCATAGGCAACTTTTTTTAAAAAAAACAGAGAGGCATGTGTGTTAAATGAACTGCCAGAGGAAGTGATAGATGTCGGTAGAGTTACAACATTTAAAAGACATTTGGATAGATATATGATTAGGAGAGGTTTGGAAGGATAAGGGCCAAATGCAGGCAAGTAAGACTAGTTTGCTTTGGGAACATGGTTGGTATGGACTAGTTGGACCGAAGGGTCTGTTTCCATGCTGTATAACTCTATGTTTCTATAACTCTTCTCAGAACTAAAGGAAGGTAGAAATGTGGGGTGTCACACTGTCAAAGAGGGGAGAGAGAGATTTAGAGTGAAAGGGAAGATCTGAGATACAGTTGAGCCTATATTCTTTGGTCTTATGGTCAAGCATCTTCATTCCCTTTCAGAGTATCTGTTATTATGTATATTTGATTCAGAATTCACAGTATGATGTTTGAATTCACAAGCAGCTCTAGCATAGCTAAATTTCATATTCAACATACATTGTGGCAAGGTAATTGAAATGGTAATGAAATGTTTCGTGTGGTGTTGGTCATTTACTGTTCAGTTGAACTGTGAGATTTGAAAGCATCTTTTGAAAAAGTGGTTTATGCTTTACTATCATTTCAATATTTTGGAAGTTAACTTGAGTTTATATCTGGTTTTAGTCTGACTCAAACTGTAACACCAACTTCAGCTACAAAACTCAGATGGACAGAAATGGACATATGCCTGGTTCCAGATTAAAAATCAAGGATTTTTATGTAACACGCACAATGCTTTAAGGTGCTGCAGCTTTGAGTGTAAGTGAATTTAGACTCACATACATCACTTTCTAGATGTTGCAAAAACAATCTGTACAAAGCATCACTGACCTTTTCTTCCTGGAAGAATAAATTCCTCAGCAAGACCCTGTAAATCATTTGTCATGCTTCATTAGCTTTCAGCTTTACAAATCATCTCTGTGCATTGGTAAATTAGGATTTTTGACAGACATAAATCCCAACAGCTTTAGAATCATTCATCTTTACTGGACTGTTTATGCAGCAAGTAGTTGTTTTCTAAATGTCAATCAAAAAGGATATATCTGCTTTAAATTTAATACATTTTATTGTGCCCACTTATTTTTACAGAACTGTATCAGATGGCTTATCATGTTTAGGTATATTAAGGAGAAAACTGAAACCTAACTAGGTGAAATAGCACAGGACTAAGTACGATCAGATCTAAATTGTAGAGAGAATAGATGGATATCTTCAATGTACATTACAAAGTGCAACTATGTCCCTTCAAGGTAATTTGCTGTTGCCATTGAATATTTCAGTCAGGATGTTTTGATCATTTGTTTTTGGTTATCTGGAATATAGTATATTTTTACAAGGTACATTATTAGGGATTAAATTCTTACAATATTTAAGGCTTATTAAACAGCCAAACTAACAGAAACTTACAAAGCAGAAAGAGGCCACCTTTTTCCCCATTGTGTCTGTGCTAGCCCAAAAAGTCATCGACTCTAATTTCCAGCTCCTTATTTTGTCACTTATGCCAATTCAAACGCATATCGATGTATTCAATTTGCTTGTCATTGTAAATCACAGGTACAACCATGATAAGTAGCTATATCTAAATAATATCATAGAATCCCTGAAAGTGTCCATATCAAATACTAAAAGCACTGTGCAAACTAATTTATATCAAATCGTGTATAATTGCAAGGGAAACCTAGACTTTTAAAAATAAACTCAAACTTCCAGTTATTAACTGACAGAATTATGCCACAACACACTTTAAACAAAATTTTTGGAAAATCTCAACAGAACAGTCTCTGTTGTATTTTTATTCTCACCCAGGAGTTTTCCTCGACTTCACAAGATTATGAGGGTTCCCTCACTTCCTGACACCAAACTGCAAACTGTGGAACTGTTGAAAAAGTAATACTTAATGTTTATGAGCTTGTCCCCGAAGCTTATCAATTATAATTTAAGACGAGAAAGAAACCTAATCAAACACTTGTAGAATTGACAAGAGAAAAATAAATGCTGATGGGATCAGTGGTTTTAGTAATTGAATTTAGAGGAAAACCTTTGAGAATGCAAGAGAATGCATGATTTATGGAAAACTCTGAAATAGCATTCACGCAGACCTTAAAACTTATTTATCAACTTCAAGTATTAGAGATGCAAGAAGTAATTAGGAAGGGTACCGGTATTGTAATTTATTACAAGGGAAATTGAACACAAAAGTAGGGAGGTTATGCTTTAGTTATGTGGGGCACGGGTGAGACTATGTCAGGGCTTGTGTGAACAGCATTGTTCACCTTATTAGGAAAGATTTACCAGACCAACACCTAAAATGAGCAGGTTGTCAAATGAGGAGAGATTGGACAGGCAAGGCTTGTGTTCGCTGATGTTTAGAACAGTAGGAAATGACTTGATTGAAACAAATAAAATCCAGAGGGATCTTAACAGGGTAGATACGGAGATGATACTTCCTTTTAAAAGGTAATGAAGAACTAAGCGTCACTGCTTAAAAATTAGGGGTAGCCCAATTAAAATAGAAATGTAGCAATTTTCTTTTCTCTCAGAGGACTGAGTGTCTTTGGAACTCATGTCCTGCAAAAGGTGATGGAAATGGAGTCCTTGAGTATTTTTAAGGCAGAGATGGATAGATTCTTGTTAAGCAAAGCGGTCAAAATGTTACCAGGAATAGGGAGAAATGTGGATTTGAAGGTCAGCCATGATCTCACTGAATGGTATAGCAAGCTTGAGCAGGCAAATGGCCAAATCCTGCTTCATTTTTCTATACTCATATGTAAGGTGTGGTTATAACAGATATCTATGATATGTCACAGTGGGGAGGTGATCATATGGGAATCCTCAAGGAAATGTGAGGAGTAGAAAATCTGCTCAGATGGAAGATTTACGTCATCAGGAACAAATAGAAGCTCGCTGAAGTAATAAAAAAAAGTGATATAACAAAAATGACACACTTTAACAAGTCTGGATATAGCACAACTAAATTGGAGACCAATTGCAGAGTAGGAAGAGAATGTTTGCTGATACCCAAAAGCACACTCAGTGCGTATGTACAAAATGTACTCTGCCAACTCTACCGGTGACAGAATTCTGTCCTATTCATTCATATTTATTGAGCTCATTTTCACTGGGTTTTCCCAAAGCACAGAACTCTCCACATGCACAATGTGAAAGGAGGCACGCCTTCTCAGAACATTCCATGAGTCCTCAGAAAAGAGGGCATGAGGAAAGGAAATAGGTGTTAAAACTGAGGCTGTAGTAAGAGAACATGTACGAAGAAGGGGGTGATGACTCAGAACAGTCAAAGAAAATTCTCAATTATTGGCGAATAGAATCAGACCACTGCAGGTTCTGAATATATCATTTCAAAAGGAGATACTTCCTTATGCGTTAAATAAGAAGTTAAGCCAACAAAGATATTGCGAGACAATGCAGCAAGTCAGTCACCAATGCCGGCTCAAGATAATGTGTGTCTTCTAGAGGGGTTAATGAAGGAGAAAATATTAATCGGAGGCATAAATGGAGGTTTCAAACAAGTACTATATGTAGAGTTGGATTAAAGGGTGACTAATTGAATGAAGGAGTTGTAGTTGGAGTAGAGAAACAAGTCTTTATTGAAGGAATTGACTTTAGTTTGGGAAATGAGCTGGCTGGTTTGAAACTATTGACCTCATTGAAGGCAGTGGAGCAACCAAGAGAAGTGAAAGAAACAGAGATGCTGCAAAAGGGGTATCCTGGATTGTTATCATGGTAAAGGGATTGTAAGGAGTCAGTTAAATAGAAAATGAAGGAATTCAGACCAGGGTGCAATTTCTCTGATTTTCAGTCGATAGCATTGAGAAACAGGTTGCAACTTTGTTTCGCTGTGTGTTTAAGATTCTTCAATCTATCATATGTAGCACTTTGTTCATTTCTTCTTTTGTGTAATAAACTTCTGCTTTGTTGTTAAAGAAAATCTGCAGCCTTGCGTGAATATGTCTGAGCAACTATCCGCCACATTAACTGACTAATCAAAAAAATCAATCAAGCCAGATATCTTTCTTCTCCAGTAGTACTAAAAGAAAACAAAAAATCTCAGATGCCAGAGATCTAACCAAACAGAAACAGAACTTGCTGCAGAAATTCAGCAGGTCTAGCTGCACCTGTGGAAAGAAAAATGGGTTAATGTTTCAAGTCCAGTGATATTTGTTCTAGTTCTGAAGAAAGGTCACTGTTCTTGAAACGTTAACTCTGCTTTCTCTCCACAGTTGCTACCAGACTTCCTGAGTTTCTTCAACAATTTCTGTTTTTGTTTGACCCCAGTTGGGATCAGAATACTGTGAAAGAACAAAAAAGTCTGCAATCCTCCCAGTCCTGGCACCGTGCTGAAGATAGGACCACTTATTCTTTATTTCTTCTCTAACGCTGGCTTGTTACTTAAACACGAGTTACTCTTTGAATTGCAATCACTTTAAGTCTATTTAACAGTCTCCCAAACCAGATGTTTCCATTATTTTACATTTAAAAATCTCAATTCTCAAACTTTGTTACATTCTTAAAACATGTGAATTATAACATTTAGTATTTTTGCAATAGTAGTTATTTTTTGTAAGTATGTACAATATTTAGTTCATGGAAGAAAAGCAATCCATTAAATAAGATATCACTTTCAGCAAATCTTATATCACTGATGAGTATATCAAAGAAGTGCTTGTCCATGGAAATTTTTCATATTTATGTACGTTGAGATATGAAATAATAGTTTATGGAATCTAAGTACCCATTTGCAAGTACACCTATAATTACCATGACTCATGATACTTATAGTGCAGCTGGATAAGCTTTTGAAACTTCCCCTACTCTATTCTTTTATCCAGTTAGAAACCTAGACAATGAAAAAAATGAATGCAGTTCTCAAAAGGAACTCAAAACCAACTTTTATAGTTGTACTTAACATGGAAATTGCAAACTCGTGGTAGGTTTTAATAGTAAAGCATTATTTGTAGATGTAAGTCACCGTGGAAAATGCAATCTTTGACAGGACGTCTCTTAAACACCATGAAAACCTTAAGCATCTTGTTTCTAAACATAGGAATTCTGTGTGACAGCAGATTACATAGAAAAGATGTAGAGTTCATTTGGTTGTATCCTCATCCAGACAAAAATAGTTATTAAGAACTTTATGAGTTGTAATTTTAAGCTACACATAAATTACACATTGAGTTTGTAAGAAAAGAAGGGCATAAATTGCATTCCAGTACAAGGGAGAGAGGAAAGATCCAAGCTCATTCATAATAGGGGTTTGATTTCAGTTTGTCAGTACTCATTTTCCAAAGTAAAATAAAACTAGGCTTATTTTGAACTATTATGAAAAATATTAAAATTTTGCCAGAAAGACACAAACACATTCTTAGAAAGAAAAAAGTATATAAAATCAGTTACCTACATTTCCTGCCAAATTTTGTACAGAGAGAAAGATTCCATTATAAAAATTCAAGTATTACAAAAGCAAAAATGTATCTCAAAATTTTCAATTGTGCAAATATATTAAGTGAATCAAATAATTAGTATTCAAAAGACGCAGATGAGGAAATGAAGCTGAGAATTAATCAGATATCTTTCAGTTTTAGCCAGGTCTTGATCTAAGTTGCACACAAATTTACACTATAAATAATTATGGAGGAACTCAAACCAGTACAAAGACTAATGTTTCTTTCGATCAATATTGTTATTACCACAACTGGTGATGTCAGTAGTTATTAAACATTTGATGCAGAGAATGAACTCTGAGTAAGTGTCATTTGCACAACTGAAGTTTGCATTGCTTGGCCTATTGATGAAAGATAAAGATACCATGCCTAAATGACTGCATCATACAAATATCTAAAATGTTTTTAACTCAGATTACAATACCTCCACATACATTACAGAGACATTTCATTATAACCATTTCCACAATCATGTTACCCTAGATTCACAAAATAATACAGAAGATAATTTTGTACAAGAGTTGGTCTCAGAAGATAGCTTTATGGATTTCCGTCAAGTAGTGTTTATATATTACGTGTTCCATTTCTTGATTTAAAAAAAGAAAATGCTTAAATTTCAGAAATTTGTCAAATGCATATTTTAAAACTAACAGCAACCATATCAGTAGTGAATTCTAAAGTAGAAACAAGTCAAATACTCAAAAGTGGTGTAAAGTAATCAAGGATCGGTTTTTCTAGGAAACAAATATTACACAGGTAATTAATTCCTACAAAATAATGAAATAGTTTAATCAGTCAGTTTCTATCAGCAGAACTTGTTGCCAAATAGGCTGTTTTAGTGCTGGAACATTTATGATTTCTGACTTTTCCAGAAGGCACTTGTGTGACATTTTATTAAATTGATATAATGCAGTAGAAAGACTGCTTAATAGGAGCATTTTCAGTGAAATGCTTTATTATGTCAAAACAGTGCTGGTACAGAAGCTTATTTTAGGCTGGAGTTGCTGTTTTGCAGGCAGAGCTTCAAATACTGAGACTGGATTAGTAAACTGCAAAACTCAGAGGGCAAGGCACACTGCACAAGATGGAACAGCTACAGAATAGCTTGATATAATACAAGTATAATATTGATAAACTCTTGTTCTGGTAATGGAACTAACTGAGACCAATAAAGCTGTGTGGGTATAGTTTTATATCTTTTAGTCAGGTAGATATCACTTTTGGGCAGTCACAAACAATTAAAATGGTGAAATGTGCATTTAATGGTATTTCCTTAACTGAACAAATGATCATGAAGCTATACTGTGTATCACAAGATACCCTGACTATAGAGTCCACAAAATTTCAATTTACAACAGCATAGAGTTCAGATACAAATCTGTAGTGCTAATCCAGGATTGTACCAATTGATATCCAAGCAATGGAGCACACAGTGTGAAGCTGCAAGAAGACTTCAGAACAGAGAGCTTAATGAAAAAAAGTGGAAAAAACTGAAAACCTGTGTTTAGTATAGGAATAAATAAACTGTTATATGCCAATAGTCCCAACAAAATCTATTCATGATAAAGCTTATGGTCTCAAATATGTCCCAAAGTTTAAAAAGTTTAGTGCTTATGCTATGTGCACCACTGTAACACTGCTGTGATTGTGTTACAACTTCATGTAATCTCTAAATGTGTATTTTGAGGCATTGTTAGATACTTTGCCATTTCTGACATTGTTATTAATTTTGGCTGCTATGAAAGATCAACTGAGAAATCATGTCAAAAATCTTGGAAACCACAATGTGCTATATTAAACATTTGTTTAAAAATGTGATAATCTTTTAAGAGAGAACAATTTTGAAAATTTGTAAACGGCATTTCCAACAACGATGATACATTAGTTGTGAGAAGTCAATTTGCAGCAACTCCAGTATAATCATTAGCACTGCTTTGCTTGTTAAACTATGTTCATTATTTGTGCCAAGTGTGATACAGCAAACTATTCAAGCTTCCAAGCATGGATTCAACCTTCTAGAGGCATAAAATGTCAGCTGAGGTGGCCATTCAGCCCATCAAGCCAGTGTTACTTCTCTGTAGGAGCTATGCATTCAGTTTAATTGTTTTACCCTCTCTCTATATTTTTAAATGCTTTATTTTTCACATATTTATCTAATTTCTTTTAAAAGCTGCTATGGATTCTCTTTTCATCATCGTTTTCTACAAATCTTTATGACTTGGATTTCCACCTGGAATATTATTGTATACTTATATCAGATCTTCTCTTAAAACTCTTTGTCTTCAAGAAAATACTCCATTTCTTATCTTTAGTTCCATCTTAGTGGATCCTCTTTCACATCTTCTCCATCAGTTTATCGTGCTTCCTGAAAAACAGAACCAAAGTTAAACACTATATTCCAAATGCAGCTTAACCAATAATTTGTATGGATTTAACATTAGCTATTTTTTATTCAGTACTTCAATTAATAAAACTTAGGATCTCAAATGTTTTATACAATGACCTCCTATTTTCAAAGGCCTCTGTACCTGAACCCCAATCTATAAATCCACCACAGCTCCCACTTTCCCATTTGGTTTTATTATGTAATGGAAATGTTCTCTCATTTTTCTCCTAGAATGCATCACCTTGCGTAGCTCCTTATAAAATTTCATTCGATATCTGTCCAAAATACTAACATGCCCATGCTTTCCAGGATTATTCACAATCCATTTCTATGTTAACTCTGCTTTCCATTTTCATGTCATCTGCAAGTTTTGATATTGCAATTCCTATAACCCAAGTTCAAACCTCTTTCTTATACCTGGTGTAGAATTTAATTAGGAATGTGTGTAGTTTGGGCAACACCAGCATGACAGTATTTATTGCCAGCCCCAAGTTTCCCAGAGGAATTAAGAGTGAATAATATCGCTTAAACTGTACTCACATATAGATCAGAATCTCTGCATTATTGTTTCAGTTTTTTACAAATCTACTTCTTTATCTTTGCTCATCCTATCAAATTTCCCCATCTCCACTCTTTCATTTCCATTTCCACATCCTGTTCAGAGTACTGACGCAACACATTCAGGAATGTAAGATATCCTTCATTATACTGAATCATTTTTAAAACTATTCCTGTGTGTTAAAAACTCAATTTACTAAGTTTTTAATGTTGACTGTCAATTTCTCACTGATCACCTCTTTACAAGCTTCATAAATCCTTTTCTTTCTTGCATTCGATTTTCTTTTTAGCCTGACATATGTGAATTGGTTTTTTCTTAAAGAGTTTCATTTATTTGTTTCAGTTGTTACACAATCTTTTCTTCTTTTGTAGACATATTCAAACAGATTCTTCTAGTCATCCTCTGACTGAATATTCCCTGATTTTTATTCATGGTTTTAACTGCCAACTTTTATTGCCAATTTATCTAGCTAGCACTGGTTAGTTTCTGTTTAATCTAATTAAAGTTGGCTTTCTCCAGTCAAATGATGTTTTACACTGCTCTCTTTTACAATTTAATTTATTTTAAATTAATTATGCTATAGTCATCTTTTTGAAGATATTAATCTTGCTTCACTGCTGACTTTCTTGACTCATTTCTTAGAACTAAAGCTAACACTGTCTCTTTGCCCTCTAAACTAAAAATATATTGACAAAGAAAGCAGGTCCTGGACAGATTATAGAACCCCTCCTCCCCTTTATTACGTTCTTTACCTTTTCCCTGTTTATTTGTGAATAATTAAAGCCCCCTCTCACATGCAGGATGCTCAAAGGGCATAATCCAATCTGAGATTGCCTGAGCTTTGGCTACCAAGAGAATCAAGGGGAAGGGGCTAACATGGGAAAATGGATTTGATGGGAAAGCGCAGCCATGATTTGACTGAAATATGAAGCACAGGCTGTGTGGCTGACTCCTACTCCTGTTTCTTTTGTTTTCTATCTCACTTTGCATCTCTAATTTGTCTATATATCATTTGGTAAAATTTATTCCCTATTCAAAAAAACATTTTTTTAAGCTATCCTATTTCAGCATATTACCATCGGTCTGTCTCTTTCCTTCCTACCTTCCCCTGTTTTATGACATGCAATGTTTATCTCTCTGTTCTGGCTTAGCCTAACAAAACCAGAAATTGCTGGGAAAATTCTGCAGGTCTGGCAGCATCTCTGGACAGAGAAACAGTGACTCTTCTGCAGAACCGAAACATTAACTCTGTTTTAACTCCATAGATGCTGCCAGACCTGCTGAGCTTTTCCTGCAACTTCTGTTTTTGTTTCTGATTTCGAGCATCTGCAGATTTTTAGTTTTTCTGGCTTAGTCTAAACTCTGTTAATGCTGCAACACTACAACAAAAACAAAATTAGATCAATTTTATTTTCAATACTTTGTGAAACCCCAGAGCATCATAAATATGACATAAATATAGATAGAAATAAATATAGAAGAAGAGACCACACAATCAGGATAATCACTTCTGTTTTCTAGCTCTGACACCCATCCAGGGATGTACAGCCATGACACAAGGACACAAAGGTCTGCAAAATCAGCTCCGTTACTTCTTCACTGGGACATAACTGCTGCTAAGTGTAGTCATTGCCTTAAGCAATCCAGTTTCTAATGAAAGGTTTGGAAATCAATATTAAGAATTGGGCAAGTGTTTTTAAACTAACAGTGAAAAGGTTTTACTTTGAACAAAGATGCTGCACAAAATAAACTCTTGGTTTATTACCTGACGAGAACAACATTACATTGAAAGCACATTGACACAATGTCTGTCCACCAACTTAAACACACAGGTGTAAAGGTGAATAGGCACACTCAATTCAGGTAGGTCTACAGTACACATAATAAAGGTTTTTAATACAAACCATAGAAATAGTACAATTGTAGTATCAGCCCTCAGTACAAAATGAAAATATCTGTCTATACGCAGGCATCTGCTCTGTTCCCGTTGCCAAAGAAAGCTGTTGAAAAAGTACAAAAATTATTATAATAATAATCAGAACTACTCAAATATCTTTTAATTGCACATGATTTAAATCTTTCCTGTCCAATTTTCATTTGTGTTCAATCATGCTGGATCCTTTACAAATTGTGTACAAAACCAGTGACTATTGAAAATATTCTATGAAATTACATTTAGTTAAGTGACAGAAAACAAACATATTGTGGGAAAGGAAAGTAGAATACATTTCAGATTTTTCTTAAAATACATTGAAATTAAAGCATGTTTTTTTAAAAACAAAATATTCATCCAAATCCCACATCAGCTCAATAAATAGATCCAAAATTACTATGTAAGGTACATTGGCCCACTTCTGTTTATTTTGTTTTTTTTAATTACTGGTTGTTTTGCTGACTTGATGTTTTATAATATTTACAACAAAACAGCTATTTTCCAATGAACACGGGCCTGATGCAAATAGTGAACATTTCATAAAACAGGGAAGGCATGAAGGAAAAAGTTGATAATATTCCAAAATAGGATTGATACCAAAGTGAATCTTTTTGATTAGGGAATAAAATGGAGAAAGGGATATGTAGACAAGTTACAGATAAATGGATGCAAAATGGATATGAAACAAATGCAAAATTGAGTTTGAGATTGGAAATTAATTTTAATCAGCAAGGCTTTACTCTAGTGCCACCTGAATGTGGTGACTTGTTATAGGTTTGGGTTATTATAAAATGTTCCATCACCTAACACACAATGCCATAGGAGATATATTAACTGTTAGAAACTACGTAATGTAGGCTACAAAATGGTTTCTCATGCACATTCCCTGGATGGAAAATAGAGAAAAACATGACTAGCTTCACAAAACTATATCTTGCAACTCAAGGGTGCCTGTGAAACATCCCAATGCTATATTAACCATGTTAACAATCTTCAAGTATCCTAAATGACCACCTAAAACAGGCACTTGGCCCTTTCCATGTGTCAGCTGGCAGAAAAGCTTATTTCTGGGACTCCGACAAACAGTACGTTTTCAGAAATCCTCTTCCTTACAGAAGATGATGTGGAGGTGCCGGTGTTGGGCTTCCTTGACAAGGTCAAAAATCACACAACGCCAAGTTATAGTGCAACAAGTTCATTTGAAATCATGCAAGCTTTCGGAGTCTCACTCCTTCTTCAAGTGTCACATGAAGAAGCAAGACTCTGAAAGCTTGTGTCTTCAAATAAACTTGTTGGACTATAACTTGGTGTTGTGTGATTTTTGACCTTACAAAATATGGATAACAACAAAGCTGCTTCTTTTCAAGAAAGGACAACATAAATCTACTCTTGAATATCAAGGCTAGGATTCGTGTAACCGAATGGCTTACTGGCTTGACTTACTCTTAAACTTGATGGCTTAAACCTAACCACTGAACAGGAGGACATCAGTCCCAGAACCATTTCGAATTAAAATTTCACAAGATATTACAAGAAACAAGATTCAGAACTGAAGTAATGGTAAATAATTCACATAATACAAGACAGTGTTTGCCTACTCAAATGCAGCTGCCAATCAAACATATATTTAAAGCCATCCCCACTTAAGACCAAAATAACAGCAGAGCTACAGCAATTCAGTTGCAAAAATTGGAAATACAATTTCCAATTGTACAAAATGAAGCAGGAAATCAGCTAGAGAATTCCCATTACATAGGCATGTCCAATCAAAGCCTGTTTACACGACCACCTGGATACTCACCTTGTGTATTACATTGACTGGTCAATTTCTGCAAGTTAAGGTGTATTTTTAACATTTCTGAAACCATGATCAACCCCATTCTCCTGCCTTCTCCCTGTAAGCTTTGATCCCTTTATCAACCAAGAAACTATCTATCTCTGTCATAAATACACTGAATGACTTGGTCTCTACAACCTTCTGCGGCAATGAGTTCCCCAGATTCCTCACCCTCTGGCTGAAGAAATTCATCCTCATCTCAGTTCTGATGGGTTGTCCCTTCACTCTGAGGTTGTGCCCTTGCACCCTGGTCTCTCCTGCTAGTGAAAAAAACTCGTCCACATCCACTCTATCCAGGCCTCTCAGTATTCATAAGTTTCAATCAGATACCCCCAAACCTTCTAAACTCCATCGAGTACACACCCAGAGTCCTCAACCCTGCCTCATAAGACAAGCTTTTCATCCCCAGGATCATTCTTGTGAACCTCCTGTGGACGTCTCCACCACCAGCACATCCTTCCTTAGATACAGGGCCCAAAACTGCTCACAATATTCCAAATGCTGTCTGACAAGAACCTTGTATAGCCTCAGCAATACATTTTTGCTCTTGCATTCTAGTCCTCTTGAAATGAATGCTAACATTGTGTTTGCCTTCTTATCTGCCAATTGAACCTGCATGTTACTCTTAAGAGAATCCTGAACTAGGACTCCTAAGTCCCTTTGTGCTTCATATTTCTGAAGCCTCTCCCCATTTAGAAAATAGCCTGTGCCTCTATTCTTCCTACCAAAGTGTATAACCTCACACTTTTCCACATTGGTATTTCATCGGCCACTTCTTTGCTCACTCTCCAACCTGTCCAAGTCCTTGTGCAGCCCCCCTGCTTCCTCAACACGACCCAGCCTTTCTTTGTGTCACCTGTAAATGTAGCAACAATGTCCTCAGTTTCTTCGTCCAAATCTTTAATGTATAATGTGAATAGTTGTGGCCCCAATATGGACCCCTGTGGAACTCCACTTAGTCACTGGCTGCCATCCGGATAAAGCCTCCTTTATCTCCACTCTCTGCCTTCTGCCAGTTAGCCAATCCTCTATCAATGCCAATACCTTCTCCCTAATACCATGGGCTTTTATTTTATTTAGCAGCCTCCTGTAGGACACCTTGTCAAAAACCTTCTGGAAACCCAAATGGATCACATCCACTGGCTCTTCTTTGTCTAACTTGCTTGTTACCTTCTCAAACAATTCTAACAGATTTGTCAGGCATGACCTTTCCTTGATGAGCAGTGCTGACTCAGCCCTATTTTACCAATATAGGGCTGTAAGTACTCTGCAATCTCATCCTTAATAATAGACTCGAAAAGCTTACCAATGACTGAGGTCAGGCTAGCCAGCCAATAATTTTCAGTTCTGAGGAAGGGTCACCAGACCCAAAACGTTAACTCTGTTTTTTCCTTCACAGATGCTGCCAGACCTGCTGAGCTTTTCTAGCAACTTTGTTTTTGTTCCTGATTTACAACATCCGCAGTTCTTTCGGTTTTTACAATAATTTTCAGTCTTCATTCTCCCTTTCTTCTTAAACTGGGGTGTTATTTTAGCCATTTTCCAGTCCTTTGGGACCCTCGCTGACTCCAGTGATTCTTGAAATATTACCACGAATGCCTCTACAATCTTCTCAGCTATCTCCTTCAGAACTCTGAGGTGTGGTCCATCAGGTCCAGGTGATTTATTGCCTTCAGACCTTTCAGATTCCCCAGCACCTTCTCATGATCCCTGAATCTCTTGAAGTTCTGCTATGCTTCTGGTGTCTTCCACTGTGAAAACTAATACAAAGTACCTGTTCAGTTCCTCTGCCATTTCTTTGTTCCTCATTACTCCAGCCTCATTTTCCAGCAATCTAATGTTCACTCTTGCCTCTCTCTTACCATTTAGATATCGAAAAATATTCGTGCAATCTTCTTTTATATTACTAGCTAGTTTACTCTCCAATTTCATCTTCTACTTTAGTTATTACTACTTTAGTTATCCTCTGTGGTTTTTAAAGGATTCCCAATCCTCTGGCCTCTCACTTACTTCACCACATTGTATGCTTTTTCTTTTGCAATTATGCGGTCCCTAACTTCCCTTGTCAGCCACGGTTGCCTCATCGTCCCAATAGTATGGCTCTTCTTCCTTGGGATGAATTTCTGCTGAGCTTACCCCAGAAACTCTGCCATTGCTGCTCCACTGTCTTCCCTGTTTCACTGTCTTCCCTGCTAGGCTCCCCTTCCAATCAACTCTGGCCAGCTCCTCCCTCATGTCTTTGTATTTACCTTTACTCAATTGTAATAATGTTACATCCTATTCAAGCTTCTCTCTCTCAAACTGCAGGGTGAATTCTATCACATTGTCATCACTACCCTGTAAAGTCCCTTCACCTTCAGCTCCCTAATTAAATCTGTCTCATTACACATCATCAAATCCAGAATTGCCTGTTCCCAAGTGAGCTACGCCACAAGCTGCTCCAAAAATCCATCCCATAGATTTTCCCCAAATTCCTTTTCTTGGGATCTGCTACCAGCCTGATTTTCCCAGTCTACCTGCATATTGATTATTGTCATAGTGCCTTTCTTACAAGCCTCTCTATCTCCTAATTTATTTTCTTTACCAAATCCCGATGGCTGCTAGGAGGACTGTACACAACTCTCATCAGGGTCTTTTCTCCTTTGCAGTTCCTCAATTCTACTCACACAGATTCCACATCTTTCGACTCTACGTCATTTCTTAATATCAATTTAATTTCATTTCTTACTAACAAGGCAACCCCACCTGCTGTGCCTATCTGCTTGCCCTCTCAATAGGACAGGTATTCTTGGATTTTTAGTTCCTAGCCCTGATCCCCTGACAGCCATGTCTGTGACACACACAGCGTCACACCTGCCAATTTCAATCTGCACTACAAGCTCCTTTACCTTGTTTCATATACGGCATGCTTGTAAGTTCAAAACCCTCAGTCCTGTTTTGACTGCCCCCCTTCTGATAGCTGTCCCCTAATCTCCCTGAAGTTAGATTCCTGATCCTTTCCATTCTCTCTGTCCTGTTACATGCTCCGAAAACTTTAATAAACTCTGCTGAGCCCTCTCCCCTTTATCTTTTCTCATAATTTCCCACGTAATTGACCCCTGTAACAGCAATTAGTTATGCGATTTGCCAGGACTCTAGTCCCAGCATGGTACAGAGGAGAAAGGAGAAAATAAAGTAATCACTGGTGTTAATCAATGCCCTTGGCAGAGTGCCTTAAACATCCAAATTTTCACTGCTTCTTAAATAATTTTACGAGAAATGTACAACCATTCTGTGCAAAAAAAAAATTCTTTTTTAAGTTAACATTTAACATCTACTCCAAAACCTTAGAGTTAACATTATTTAGGGAAGCATCTTATGATCAAGTATAAAAAAAAGCCAAGAAAGAACAAATGCTACATGATTAAATTTGACATTCAATTCAAATTTGACAATTAATTCTGGTGCAATCTTTGAATGAGGAATAGAGTAATTTTGCTTTCTGAAATGACATATATTTGGTAGCATTTATTAAAGTATGATATGGAAAATGTGTCAAGTTTTCAGTAAGGGAAGTGCTGGATGCCCTCCCTTACAAAATTAATGAGACATGCTTGGGGAATCTCCACTGTAGTTATATTAGAAATATAAACCCATCACAGAACTGTGAAGCAAACAGTTTAATTTGCTACTGGAGACAATTTAGGTTGACCAGTGCTGGGCAGAAGCACTGTGATTTATTTTTAAACAAGTTTGAAATAAATATTTGCATTGGCAGACCACCTTTAATGCCCAACCAAAGTGGACATCCCAAAATGCATTACAGCTAAATAAGTATTTCTGATGTGTCGTCACCACGCTAAAGTAAGGTCCACATACCAGCTAAACTATGCACAGCAAACCCTGACAAAAACAATGTAATAATCTTCACGTGATCTTTCTTAAGCACTGGATAAATTGGCAGGAGCTCCCACATTGTTTTTCCAAATAGTACTATGGGATCTTTTACACTTCGCTGAGAAAGTAGATAGATTTCAGTTAAACACCTTGAACACTAGCACATCTGACAGTGCAACACGTCCCCACAAATTAAATTTGCACTCAGGTCTTGGAAATGAGA